AACAAAGAAAATCATGACTGTCATTGTCTATATTTACTTATTTGCTAGTTCCTGGTACATATATATTAAGTAGTTTCAGAATTAATAATCATGGTCTAGAGTACATACATTTATGTATAGTTCTTTTTGTCTAGAGTTTTATAGTACAGGCACACCTCATTTGATTACACTTTGATTGTGCTTCCAAGGGTTTTTGTTGTTTGTTTTTGTTTTCAGATTGAAGGTTTATGGCAACACTGCCTCGAGCAAGTCTATTAGCACCATTTTTCAAACAGCATATGCTCATTTCATGTCTCTGTCACCTTTTGGTAATTCCTGCAGCATTTCATACTTTTTCATTGTTATTATATCTGTATGAGGATCTGTGATAAGTGATCTTTGATGTTACTATTGTAATTGTTTTGAGAGAGGCCCCATGAACTGCGCCCATAGAAGACTGAGAAATTAATCAGTAAATGTTGTGTGTGTTTTGATGCTCCACTGACCTTCTGTTAGCCTATCTCTCTCCTTTTCCTCAAGCCTCCCTATTACCTGAGATACAACATTACTGAAATTAGCTCATCAATAACCCTAAGACCTCTAAGTATTCAAGTGAAAGGAAGAGTCACATGTCTTTCACTTTATATCAAAAGCTAGAAATGATTGAGCTTAGTGAGAGTGGCATGTCAAAAGGAGGGACAGACTGAAAGCTAGGCCTCTTGCTCCAAACAGGTGGCCAAGTTATGGATGCAAAGGAGAAGACCTAGAAGGGCATTTTAAGCTCTACTCCAGTGAACGCATGAATAAGAAAGTCAACTAGCCTCATTGCTGATACAGAGAAAATTTGAGTGCTCTGGATAGAAGATCAAGCCAGCCACAACATTCCCTTGAACCAAAGCCTAATCCAGAACCAAGTCCCTAACTCTCTTCAATTCTATGAAAACCGACAGAGATTACGAAGCTTCAGAAGAGAAGTTGGAAGCTAGCAGAGGTTGGTTCATGAGACTTAAAGAAAGAAGTTATCTCTATGACATGAAAGTGCGAGGAGCTGCCACCAGTTATTCAGAAGATCTAGCAAGATAATTGATGAAAATGGCTACACTAAACAACAGGTTTTCAATGTAGATGAAACAGCCTTCTATTGGAAGAAGATGACATAGAGAACTTAGTCAACACCTGGCTTCAAAGCTTCAAAGCACAGACAGACTCTCATGTTAGGGACTAATATAACCGATGACTTTAAGTTGAAGCCAATGCTCATTTGCCATTTTGAAAACCCTAGGGCCCTTAAGAACCATGCTAAATCTACTCTCCCTGTGCACTATATACAGAGCCAAAAAGCCTGGATGACAGCATATCTCTTTATAGCATGGTTTACTAATGGATGTGGACAAAGCAAATTGCAAACCTTCTGGAAAGGATTCACCATTCTAGATGCCATAAACAACATTTCTTGGCTGGGCACAGTATCTCATGTCATGCTTGTATCCTCAGCAACTTGGGAGTCCAAAGGGGAAAGATCACTTGAAACCAGGAGTTCAAGACCAGCCCAGGCAACATAGTGAGACCACATATCTACCAAAAAAAAAAAGAAAAGAAAAAACAGCTTGGCTTGGAGCCACATACCCATAGTCCTAGCTACTCAGGAGGGTGAGGTGGGAGGATGTTTGAGCCCAGGAGTTGGAGGTTACAGTATGTTTGTGCCACTGAACTCCAGCCTAGGCAACAGAGTAATACCATGTCTCTAAAACAACAACAAAAAATTCATGATTTATGAGAGGAGGTCAAAATTTCAACATTAACAGGGCTTTGGGAGAACTTGATTTTAACCCTTATAAATGACTTGAGGGTTTGAGGGGTTCAAGGCTTCAGTGGAGGAAGTAACCGTAGATGTGGTGAAAACACCAAGATAACTACAATTAGAAGTGGAACCTGATGATAGTGAATGAATTGCTGCAATCTCATGATAAAACATGAAGAAATGAAGAGTTGTTTCTTGTGAATGAGCAGCAAAAGTGGTTTCTTGAAAAGGAATCTACTCATGGTGAAGATGCTGTGAACACTGTTGAAATGACAGATTTACAACAGCTCACTGACTTATGTGATAAAGCAGGGTTTGAGATGACGGACTCCAATTTTGAAAGAAGCTCTACTTTCTATCGAACAGCATCTCACGCTACAGATACATCTTTTGTAAAAGGAAGAGTAAATCAAAGTGACAAACTTCATTGTTGTCTTACTTTATGAAATTGCCACAGACACTCCAGCCTTTAGCAACCACCACCCTAATCAGTCAGCAGTCATCAATATCGAGGAAAGACCCTCCACCAGCAAAAGATTATCACTCACAGAAGGCTCAGATGATTGATAGCATTTTTAAAACAGTATTTTAAAAATTAAGGTACATATATTTTTAGACATATTTGTGAATAATGCTATTCACACTTAAAAGACTACAGTAGGGCATAAATATAATTTCTGTATGCACTGGGAAATCAAAACACTTGTGTGACTTGCTTTATTGTGATATTTGCTTTATTGTGGTGGTCTGGAACTGAATTCGCATTATCTCCAAAGTAAGCCTGTATATATAATTAAAATACTGAATTTGGTTTCCATAGCTACTTACTTAGGTTAGTGGTTTTATTTCCTATCCCCTTGAGATGAAATTATTGTTATGGGTTCTTCCCACATCCTGGTTGGTTTTAATTATTTAATTATTTTGGAGTGCTAAAATACTGTCATAAAAACTTTAAGTTAATTAAGAAAATTTACTCAGATAAATGTCATTCCCTCTCCATCCCTTTTACTCCACTCCCATCTCCCATTCTTGCCATCTGTTTTTTACCCACATTCTGTATGTTATCAGTCTCATTAGTTTCTGGCTTTTGATTCCCGTAATTCTTTTTTTTTTTTTTTTTTTTTTGAGACGGAGTTTCGCTTCTGTTACCCAAGGTGGAGTGCAATGGGGCGATCTTGGCTCACCGCAACCTCCGCCTCCTGGGTTCAGGCAATTCTCCTGCCTCAGCCTCCTGAGTAGCTGGGATTACAGGCACGCACCACCATGCCCAGCTAATTTTTTGTATTTTTAGTAGAGACGGAGTTTCACCATGTTGACCAGGATGGTCTCGATCTCTTGACCTCGTGACCCACCCACCTCGGCCTCCCAAAGTGCTGGGATTACAGGCTTGAGCCACCGCGCCCAGCCTGATTCCTGTAATTCTCTTGGTACAAATGAAAAGACAACACACAACTTCTTAGGTATTTCTTACATAGACTGTTACATATTATTGATACTCTTTTGTACTTTGCTTATGTGAACTTCACAATATATCCTGTACATTTTTCCGTATCAATTTCTAGAGATTTTCATTATTTATTTTTACAACTCCATAGCATTCTCCCATGTACATATGCCATACTTTATTCAACCATTCCTCTATTTACCAATATTTAGACTATCACCAATATTTTATAATTATAAACAATGCTATAATAAATAACTGCATACATATGCATTTCAAATTGTTGGAGGAATATGTAGGACTAAAATTTTGATTTTCTGTTCCCAAGTTCAATTCTGTTTTAGATCAAATGATATAACTGAGAGCACCTTGAAAACTAAAAAAAGTTGTATACACTGTAAATATAGCAAAATAATACTTTGTTATTTGCATTATTTTCTTTATCTAATTTGATTGTATTTTCTTTGGAAACAGGCAGTTCAATTCAATAAATATTTGTCCTTAGCTACTAGGCCAGATGGTTATTTTTGAAAACTTCTCCTATCTTTTTAAATTCTAATATTATCAATCACATATTCACTCACTAAGAATGTCTTTTTCAACTTTTTTTATGTTTTGTAGAGAGAAGGTCTCAGTGTATTGTCCAGGCTGGTCTCAAACTTCTGGCCTCAAGTAATCCTCCCATGTCGGCCTTCCAAAGTACTGGGATTACAGGTGTGAGCCACCACACCTGGCCAAGAATGTTTGATACTTACTAGTTTTTACTAAACAATTGAATCTTTTATTTCTACAGTTCGTAGCCATAAAATACTCTAGTATTATCAATTATTTTATTTATTTTATTTCTTTAGATAGAGGAGACAAATTATAAACTGCAGCCCTAATGTGTTTCCTTGTATTCCCTACGTATGATGTCAAATAGGGTAGGAGAAACACAACAGGATCATATGGTCCAGGAGCACTCTCAAGGTTGTCTGACAATGAGTTAGCAAGGCTTGGAAACTTTCCTTTCTCCTGGCGGGAGGAGTTACACCCAAACTCAGCCTCCTTTGGAATTGGAGGCTCAAGGGCCCTCAACGTACCCAGCTCCTGCAGTACTCACATTCAAAATGTGCAAAGGTTGCTACACAGTCTATCTGAGGTCTATCCTTGGTCCCGCCTCTAACCTGGGTTCAAGAAATCCCTCATGTGGCTTATTCTAGTTCATCAGGAGATTGCCTTGGGATTTGGAATCTTAAGGAACTTAAGAGTGTTTACCTTGTCTTATTCTTCCTCGTGGCCTATAAAATGTGTTTAATCTACCATGAGACTATGGCCAGATCTGACCAGGCCTTAAAAGGTCACTTGTTAGGAATCTCTGAAGTTTTGGAGAGAGATTAGGTCTGGGGTCCTGTAAGGTTAGCAGATTCAACTGAGCAAATCTATGCAGCAAAAAGAATTTCAGGTCTACCAAAAGGTAAATGGCTTCAAATATATGCATCACTTATGTAATCAATTATGTTACTAATTACATATGATGTAGAGTCAAATCTGCTGGCAGTTTGATAGGGACCTTGCTGTCTGGGTTGGGAGTAAGGCAGAGTTTTGGAACTCGCATCAAAACCTCTTCTGCTATGGTCAGAGGAGTCAAGTAATGAGTCAAACTACATCTTTGAATTCAAGCTTCTAAGAATTATATTCTACTTAACTTTTTATAATGCAAGCAATCATATGGAAAACAAAGTTTGTCATAAACACATAAAAAGCTTCTAGGTGATATTGCTCTTATGCTCTTACCTCCTCGATCTCGGGCAGCTAAACTTTGACCCTTTCTTAATGTAATGTCCAACTGGTACATTCCGGGATCAGCCAAGGGGACTTCTGCATTACTGGTTCCAGCAGTGTTTATTTTCTGGAAAACACGAAGCATAAAAACTATTAAATTTATTATCTCTGTTCTATTTCTCCAAAGGGGGACCATATGTAGCTTAACCCAAATTATAAGAATTAGTCAACAAAATAAATAATCTCCTGATTTCATACGGTCTCATAATCACCCAGTTCTCTGAAGGTTTTGAAATTTATGAAATTCTTTAGACTCAAAATAAAAACATGAGAGTTACTGAAATGTCCTGTTATAACTCAGATTACAGATAACAAATGGAATATAAAAACATTTCCCATGGAAGTCTCCGTACAATTCAACTAAAAAATATGAACAAAGAAATACTGCGAAGTGAAAACATAACCGATGAATGGAGAATAAGGGTGTGCAAGAGCAGTAGACTTCCATCTAACTGGAAATTAAAATTAAAGTGATTGATTCAGGTGATTTTGTTGATTCATTTAACTGTGCAGAAAAACTCATACTTATGAATTAAGCACTTCTGCTGCAGCCCTAACATAAAATATAATTATATAGAAATAAATTCACCTAGTATTTTGATAATATTTGCAAGAAATATATTCTCAATGGGGCTAAATTTCTAGTGCTGCTTTCTGTGGAATAAAAGTACATAAGGTATTCCTAGATCTAAAAATGTTTGTGAAGCTGTCTCTACAGAATTCTTTTTAGCAACAGTATACTCTTAATAATGTACTAGGCATCGAGTTACAAGAGGAATAACTATATTAAAACAACACAAATGAAACATACAGTGAAAATTTTTCAGGTCATATTTTGTGTCTCTGCCACTCTGTATACAATAGGAAAGCTTACTTTTCTTTGTGTATTTGATATTATTTTAAATTCTTATAATTTTTTTTTCTGGTTCAAAAGGAAATGTCCTTTTGTCTTAAAATATGCATGGATGAGGTAAAATAACAGACAACAATATTATGCAGCAATCAGAAATGATGAGTTTGTGTCATTTGTAGGGACATGGATGAATCTGGAGAACATCACCCTCAGCAAACTGACACAAGAACAGAAAATGAAACACCGCGTATTCTCACTCATAAGCGGGTGATGAAAAATGAGAACACATGGACACAGGGAGGGGAGTACTAAACACTGGGGTCTATTGGGGGGAAAAGGGGAGGGCCAGTGGGAGGGGGAGGTGGGGAGGGATAGCCTGGGGAGAAATGCCAAATGTGGGTGAAGGGGAGAAAGGAAGCAAAACACACTGCCATGTGTGTACCTACGCAACTGTCTTGCATGTTCTGCTCATGTACCCCAAAACCTAAAATGAAATAAAAAAATTTAAAAAAAAATAACAGACAACAGTCTGGCTCTTTTAATTCCATAATTCACATAAAATGAAACAATAAAGCAGCATTTAAACAATCTTTATGGTATATAATTCATATAGCCTACATCCACTCCTTAAAGCAGCATATTTTTTTGAGGTTTTAAGACCAAGCCAAATAGCTTTGCTGTTGAAGCAATTATTTAAAACAAGAGGCAGCAGAGCTTTGATTGATATCCTGAACTCATTGTCTCTCCTCTGGTAACAATAAAAAGTAATTCACTTCACCTTCTCATGATAACCTTGCTTCTATAAATGATCCCTCAGTCACTCAGCCTAGAAATCGCTGAGCCATCTTTGACTTCTTCATTTGATTCCCACCCACATGCAAATAGTTGTCAAATCCCCCCCCATTCCATTTCTGTATGACATCTCCCAATTGTCTTTTCCTTTTAATTCCTATTACCACTCATTTGGATCAGGCCTTCACACACAAAGGAGTAAAAGTAAAATGATTGTCTTCTCTTCTCTTACCCATCTGATTCTGGCCACCAATGACAACAACTATATTTTTCACACTTTTGAAAGTCTTATGCAAACATATACACATACATATAGGTTTGGATTTTTTTGTGGTTGGGCTTTCAGTTTTCACTTGTTTTAAACAAAGATAGTATTATATTTTGTCTATTAAGAACAATTTCTAGAAAAATATCATGGGTACTTTTCTAGTCAATACATATAGATCTTTCTCTTTAAGATGTTCTAGGTTTATTGAGGCATAATTGACAAAATTGTATGATTTCATGGTATACGACATGAAGATTCAATATACATATGTTTTGGGCAATGAATACCACAGTCAAGTTAGTTAACACATCTCTCACCTCACCTGGTTAACCTTTTGTTTGTTTTGTGGTGAGGACATTTAAGTGAATTTCAAGTGTACAATTCAGTACTGTTAATCATAGTCACCACGCTGTGTATTGGATCCCCTGAACTTACTCATCTTACAACTGAAAGTCTGTACCCTTTGGCTAAAATCTCCTCTTGTCCTTCACACCCCCACCCCTAGTAAACCACTTTTTTTTGAGGCATAGTATTTTTCCCTAGTGTAGAAATAGCATAATTTATTCCATTATTCTCCTATTAATGGACACTTGCATTAGTTTCAGTGTTTGCCACACAGGACTGGTGCTTTCACTTCTCTTGAAAAAGTTTACAGAATAAATTTTTCCAAAAGGTTTTCTAAAAGGCTTTCATAATTCACACTTCTATCAAAAGTGTACTACTAGAGTGCCTATTTTCCACACCTTAGTCAGCATAGGATGTTATTAATTGTTCTAACTTTTTCAAGTGTAGGACGCAAAACATGCTATCTTCCTTCAGCGCATATTTCCAGAACTATGGGTGATGTGTCTTGAAACCACTGTAAAAGACAAGAAAGTGGCAGCTGCTCAGTAGGCCATACAGAAGACATCAACTTGGAAACAAAGGAAGCAACCAGGATCTTCTAAACAACTTTTCAAAGAACAGTGTATATGTGGGTCTAAGTAATAAGCAAGATTTAAACGCGGATCCAGCAAACTTTGTTGAGTTCCAATTGTGTTTCAAGCTCTTCATTAGGTACTTTTATATAAGTTGTTTCCAAATAAACAAATCTATTAATAAATATTAAGCTTATGTAGGTTTACTACTTTGTAAAAAATGGAATAAAATCTTTAGGAAAAGAGGAATTTTTCTACATGCTCTGCATATTTCTCCACTGTTTTGATAGGTATCCTAAAGCCAGAAAAATTTGAAGGCTCAGACATCTGAATATTTTGCAGTCTTCATTGCTCTGTTCAGTGCTTCCTGAAATTTAGCACATACAGAATTTATAAGGTACCAGGTTTTATATTTTCAAATATGTAATAAATTTTATATGCAGGTTAAGGAATTTCCAAAGATAATTTTAACTACACTAGATTTTTCACTTTTGCAGTTTTAGAATTTAACATTTGGTTAAGACATAACCTCTGGACTTATAATATTTTCTGTATTCATTTCTTCTTCTACGAACTTATTTATTCTTTGTTATCTTTTGTTTTCTCATATATCCTTTGTTCTCTTTTCTACTGTGTTGTTTGTCTTTTTAAAGATGGCAGATAGAACAGTTTCTCTACGAAATCAATTGCAAATATTTCCTCCCAGTGTCATCTCTTTTTTTGATCTTTGTAGATGGTATGTGCCATCATATAGAAAGCAGTTAAAGCTGTCCTTTTTTCCTTTTTAATGACTTCTGCATTTCTTATCTTGCCCAAGAAGAAGATTCCATATCATGGCATATGTATTGATTCTGATATATGTTAAAATTATTTTTATAATTTTAATTTTTATGTATCTTCAAATCATATGAAATATATTTTAAATGTTCTATGAGAAATAGGAACCTATGTGTTTTCTTAGTTGTTGCCTGAAATTATGACACTGCCCATTAAATAAGCCATTTTTCCCTTTATAATACATTAAATTCCTGTATAGTCAGATCTGTTTCTGAAGTCCCCATGATCTGTTTACTTCTGTGTCAATATCATACCATGTGATTACAATGACTTTAAATTCTTTGTCAGAATAGGTAGCTCCCATCTTTCTTGTTTTTCAAAAGCTTCTTGATTATTATTGCATTTGTATTCTTCCTGATGAAGCCAAAAATAGCTTGCTGGTTTAGCTAAGCCAGAACAACTCTTGGTTTGAATCCTGCCACTTACTAATTGTGTGGGCTTAGGAAATTACATAAACAATTTTTGCTTCCATTTTCTTACCTGTACAGTGGGACTAAATTAGTATTGCTACCTCCATGTGAGTTTGTGAGCATTAACACATATGAGATGTTGAAATATTGCCTGGCTGGTTTATTATTTACTACTGGGTGAAAAAACAAAAAATAAAAACAAATAGTGTCTGGCACATAGTAACCACTCAATAAAAGTTAGCTATTATCAGTTTCCAAAAATGAAACAAAAGGTACAAAATTCTGATTTGAACGGCATTGTTTCTAAATGAACTTGGAAAGAGTTTATAATTTCATGATATCAAGTATTTTCCTTTAAGGAAAACAGAACTTTCCAATTTTTCAGGTTCTGTTGTGTGCCCTTTAATACAACCTTATTTTTCTTCTTTCATTTCTATCTAGCTTAATTTATTATTGGGAATTTTATGGGTTTCGTTTCCATTGCAAAGGAGTAATTCTTTTCCATTTTCATTTAGATAAGGTTATTTCTAATATAATAGACAAATATTATTTTGTATAGTGACTTTACATTCTGTCACTTTTCAAGTTATATTTTGGGTTGTCTGCATATAGAAATCATACTGTCTGCATATGATGTCTTTTTGACTCTTATTTTCTAATATTTCAGTTGCTTAAGTCTTACTGTGTTATCTTCAAAAGACTGTTAAAAATGGTGAAAACTGAATATTTTTGAATTAGATTTGATTATAATGTGCATGGCTTTTAATATTTCACAGTTTAACATGCTGTTTATCAATCTTAGGATTTTTCTTTTCTTAATTTGCTTGGGCTTAAAAGAAGCACTGCTGAATTTTATCAATAGATTTTCAGCATATGTTAGTAAGATCATATAGAATTCCTGATTGATAGATTTTCCTCATCTTCATATTTGAATCATCTTCATATTTCTGGAGTAGACTCTACTTGGCATCGTGAATCTGTTCACTCTGA